GATTTTCATTTTAAATGACCAGTTACTTAGTCTGCTTAGCAGAAGGAGGAATAGTGAAGACATGATTTTTTTTTTCAGGTGACAACAATCAATGCCATCTTCATTTGACATTTCAGTTCATTTCTATAAAAGGTGATGGTTCTTAGGAAATTATGATATTATTAAGGATAATGACTTACCCAAGGCCAACAGGCTAGCAGGTGATAGGACAAGGACTCCAAACTATACCTTTCAACTCCATATTATACTCTTTTCTTTTGCCCAATAGTTCTTTCCTGACTGCCTCCTCCTCGCTCATTCACCCTTGTCCTACTCAGTCCCCAACAGTGTCACCACAATAGTTTCCAGTTAATGGAGGACCTCAGATGGATTATTCCATGCATGTCTTGGCCTGGCTTGGGCTATAAATTCATGGGCGCAGCAGGTAGATTTAAATGTGTTCTATCCCTGCCTATATTGGCCTGTGGACCAAAGCTCACTGCCTGACTTTGTAATGAAGGTTTATAGGTCACAGGTCCAATGGGTTCAGTGATGTCTGGCTGCTTTTGCACCAAGACTAGCTGCTCTGTTGCAATGTTCCAAAATTAAGGTTGAAACTTAATCTCCAACAGAACAGTATTAAGGGGTGGGACCTGTAGAGAGTAATTAGACTATGAAGGTTCTATCTCCATCAATAGGATTAATGCTCTTATACAAGGCTGGAGGAACTAGTTAGCCCCTTTTATGCTTCTACTCTTCCATCATGGAATGACACAGAATTTATCTCCTGTGCTGGAGGACATCACAACAAGGTGACAACTATGAAGCAGAAAGCAGCCCTCACCAGGTACCTATCTTGCTAGCACCTCGATCTTGAGTTTGGAATTTCCAGTTTTTAAAACCATGAGAAGTATGTTTTTATTATTTACAAAATTACCCAGTGTGTGGTATTTTGTTATATCAGAGGATTGAACTAAGTTACCTGTAAAGGCTAAAATATTCACTATTAGACCATTTACAAGAAAACATCTGCCAAACCCTGCAACAGATTATAATTGCCAGGAGGGCAGTACTCATTTATTTTTCATCATCTTTTTATAGTGATGTCTATCAAATAGAAAATGATCAATAACACTTATTGAAAGAAGAAATGTATTCACATACTCTTTGTCCATCTGTGAGAACTAAGCAGAGGAGTGAGTAGGATATTTCTGTGACAATTGGGTGCACATCAGATATACAGAGGGTCAAGTCAAGACAAGGTGGGAGAACTTCCAGGTGGTGGGGAGAGAGGATGCTGAATAAGAACGACATAGGAGGACCGTACTTAGAATGGAGCCTGAAGCTTGGAAACTTTTTACAGGATACAGTACAGGGCCATCATCAGGCTGGTCTGGAGGGGCCATGCCTCTTCCCAAGTCTATAAAAATAAATTTTCCTAATAAATTTAACTAGACCTTCATTGTTTTATATCACAAAAGAACAACCACCTATGTGCTAGATCACAGACAAGTGACTTCCCTTCTCCCTACATCAACTTGAAAGTAAGGACTTCACTGAGTTACATGAAACTATTTTATATTTGTGCAGCATTTGTGGTTTTTAAATATCTTCATGAAAAAGTCAGTACATTTGTGTAATAATAAGCTGGGAAGTAGGTGGGGCCATGTATGATTTATCTTTGATATCCTGCCATCCTGGGATCAGGATGCTGCCCAGTGCCCTCCAGCTGGGCATCCTGCTTTCCCAGGCAGGACACAGGCAGGGCAGCCCTGCTGGCTACTGTTCTTCCTTACATCTGGCCCATTCCTAAAAAGTACTCTGACAGCCTGTCCTCTCTGTGCCCATTCAGAGCTAGGTGACAATGAGTAAAAATAGGTTATAATGAATAAATTGTGCCCACTGTCTTCCTTAGATGTCAGACATGAAGGAATCATACAGAACTTGTGCAGAAGGCAAAGGCAACTCTGGAGTTTCTTGACAGAGGGCCTCAAGGGTCAGCCTCAAGGACAGAGAACTTACCTTGAAACCTCTTTTAAGTATAGCTTTTAGTTCTTTTAATTTATTAGGGTTGGGGTGGCATGGAGAGTTGAGGATGGGAAAGGAGGGCCATGGTCTCCTTCAGCTGCCTTGTCACTGAGACTGGCCTGTGAAGAATGTGATGCTAAAGGCTAAACTATGCCAATGGGACCAACCCTCAAAGTGCACATCAGATAGGAGGGACAGCAGCTCCTAGGTTGAAGTCCTGCCTCCACATCTTATTAACTGTGTCATCCTTAATTTTGTCATTTATAAAATAGACAAAAGAATATTGCCTATTTCATAGTGTTGCACAGAAGAGTAAATTAGTTAATGCATGCAAAGGACACAGACCCGTCACTAGAAGTAAATGATCCATGAACACTAAATTTCTATGGTTGAAATCCTTCATCTGAAATGCATGGTACCAGAATTGATTTAGATTTGTTTTTGAATTTTGGAATATTGCATACATATAATGAAATATCTTGAGGATTGGACCCAAGTCTAAATCTAAACATGTCATATTTTTGTTTTATATACACCTTATAGGCACAGACCAAAGGGAATTTTGTATAACTTTTTTCAGTGATTTTGTATATGAAACAAAGTTTCATGGTATAGAATTTTTCACTTATAGAATCTGATCAGTGTTCAAAAAATATTAGATCATGGAGCATTTTAGATCTCAGATTTTCAGATTAGGGATGCTTAATCTCTATCATTTTTCCCATTAATCATTCAGAAATATTTCTCAAGAGTCTCCCAAGTGCAGGTATAAAATTATGTAACAGGAAGAAGTAGACTCCAAGTTACACTGCACAAAGATCAGATGACTCTCTCAGCATACCTAAAGTGACACCCCTTGACATGGCCTTCTGTATGCTTTATGCTCAGATGAGGCTCAGATGGGCAATATTATAGCAACTAAAGGACAATGACTCATCAATGTCCCCTTCCACATTGCATGTGAAGGGATGTGTCCATGTAGCTCTATTGCCGCAGTCTGGCTGGGCACAAAATCACGAGCCACTCAAGCAGGAACAAACTTCATTTCCCAAACTCCCGCGAATGCTAAGCACAAGGTCTTCTCCCGGGACACACTACACCAACAGGAAATCCTTCCTCCAGAATTCCCTCCGCACTTCCCCAACCAATGGGAACTCTCCAGGAGTCCTGCAAGAGCTCCAAGGTAGCAGGCCTAGGCAGACAGCAGGGCTCTAATCTCCAATTGAATGCACATCTTAACATAATCATTATCATCTCAATGGCTTGCTGGGGTCACCTTTCAACCAAAAATGCCATGCATCATTCCTACTTGGCTATGGCTCTCAGCACTCTATGAATCCCCTCAGAGTTTAGTGCAGAGGTGAAGCATCCTGTAAGCCACTGAAGAAATCTGGATTTTTCTGCTAGTGTAAGACCTCCCTGAGCTCCCAGAGCACATGAAAGAACTTGGAAGAGTCTGGATGGGCTAAGAAGTAATGTTTTCCTTCTCTGAATCAATATGGCACTGTGTACATAGCCATCAACTGCAAGACTACAGCCACGGGGATCTGTCCTCTGCCTGGTCTGCTCTGTCCCATGGGCAGTGACAATATCTCATCTTGATGACCTTCATGTCCCCAGTCTCTAACAAAGTCTCCCACAGGTGAATGAATTCACTGAGGGGCAATCAAACCCTGGACCTTGGGGCAGCATCTCCCATCTACAAAGGATCTTGACAAGGCCACTAAAGCACCAAATAAATATGGCATACTTTCACAAAACCCACAAAACAAAAGAAGCTAGCATCTGTAAACTGCAAAACTGGTGGTTTGGCTCTATTCATGGCCAAAAGGAAAGCAAAAAATGCTTGGTTCAAAAGTTTCATATTATATGGAAGCCCCAACACTTTGGATCTGCACTGATCAAGAGTCTGTGTACTGTTTAAATTCAAACAATAAAAATAAAATAAAAAGCTAAAAGTCAGTTTCTCAGTCATCCCAGTCACATGTCATGTGCTCAGCACCCTCCTGTGGCTTGAATAGAAATTTCTTTGGGGCAGCACTGCCAAAGACTCTGTGGCATCAACTCAAAAAATGTTAACTCAGGCAATTCAACTGCACTTTCACAATCAATAAAACTAACTGCTCCCCTGGAATATCCAAACCTTCCAAATTTGTTCTCTCACATGTAATAAGGCATGATGAGCTAGATGTTCTCTCTGCCTTCTTGCTTAGTTTACATGTCTTTATAAATACTGCTAGTTCTGTTAAGTTACTACAGTGAGTCTGTCACCACCATGATGCAGTTATGTGTGACTCAGAGCAGTTTAATGCAGGAGATGGGTTGTGTGAGCCTGGGGAGAAGGAGGTTCATCAATCTACCTTGAGTCTCACCATCTTTATGGAACTTTAATGATGTTGGGCTCAATTTAAAACCCGTCTGAGGTATTACAGATTGGCAACATTCAGTTTCACTAGCACTGGGAATTTCTGAGATATAATCCTAGATCTTTTGCTAATGAATATTGTGATATGGGGACTATCATTTAACTTCTGAGTTTCACTTTTCTGCCCTCAGAATGGGGCTATTTCTGACCTACCTAACCCAGAGTCCAGAGGATTCATGAGTTAATATTCGCAGGGAACGCCAAGCTCCTTGCATGAAGGCAGGCTGTGCATCATGATTTCTATTCATTCTCATGAAACAGCTGGGAAACATTAGGACTGGGGTGTTACTCCTAAAATTGCATCTTCCTTTTACACATTTTAACATTACCTATGTTCCTAGAACCTTAAATCTAAAAGTAAAACTGGGCCTACAGGGAGAGCACACTGATGTAGTGGCAGTATTCAGATCATTTTTCCTTCCCTTAGTATGAACATAACACCAGCCCCTTGCAGCAGGATGAAAGCAGTAATTGCACTGTAAATTCTCACTGCATGAGCCTGGTGGTCAATCTTATCAGGTGTGGAAAGAAAGTTCTACAACAGCACAATTACACTGTCAGCACTCACATGCAATGATATTCCCATATCTGTTCTTCATTCTGTTCTCATCTTTCTTAGCAGAATCCCATGGTGCAGACTGCCCTTCAAAGAAACTCTGGAAGAAAGAGGAAGTGACACTAAGCATTACAATTTGGTGCAGTAAACAGAGGGGTCTTAAGCAGGGAGGGGTCCTTAGAAATGTGGATCAAGGGCCAAGCAGGAAAGAATGCCCATGGGGATGAGGTAAGGAATTGATTATTAAGCTGTATTATATTTGAAACACTTCATTTGTCTTTTCCTAAACATTTTTCCCTATAGTTAATATCTAACAAACACAGGGATGGAGGTTGAAGAGTGAGCCCACAATTTATTTGTATAATCCAGTAAAAATGGTCATGTGGTCATACCTATCCTACCTGAATGATACAGAAAACATTAATTTTTTTCTCAATTTCTTCATATTACCAGTTCTCAATACTCTTGTAGGAGACAGGAAAACATCTCTCTTTTTTTTCCCTCAATATTTGCTAACTGAAAGGAGGTTATTTTTGATTAAATAGTAAAAGTAGGTAAGCTAAGACTTTATGACTTTAAGACTAAAATCCAGTAATATACTCTGCTGGAGTTTTCACTTTTAATGGAGCTTAGATGTCCATTTATTTAAGGATTTGGCATTATTATGCCCTGGGTCTTTAATCTTCATGTTATTAGATTTTCTTTCAGTTCCAGTTATGATAAAAATGTCTTCTGCCATCAGCAGACAAAGGAAAAATAATGGGACTTTTATTTCCACTTTAGTCCATGTGACATCTTTTTTCGAAATCAGCTATACTGGAAATTACAGGAAGAATAGTAGCAAGAAAGATTTAGCAGAACTGGTTTCTTTGCCACAGTCACCCTTACACTTCTTCATCCATTTGGGAAACCAGAAGATTGGGAAGGAAGAAAAAATAAGTGCAGAGCAGGTGCATTATTCTGAAATGTTTGAGGGCCATAGAACATGACACCAGGATCATGTGCCCCCAGATGGCTTTCAACAAGTTCTGCAAAATGGAAACTCTTCCTTACTTGCTAATCTCCATTCCATCATCTTGGCTACTTCCCCCCCCTTGCCAATAGTTGATAATTAGTCTGTGGTTCAAGTAAGCAATATTTATTCCTTTTTCTTGGCTCCATTCTTTCTTACTAGATAATTTGCTCTCCAGTACTTGACAAGGCCACTAGAGCACCAAATAGGACACAACTACCCACAGACCCCAGGGATTCTCTGCTCCTACCACCTGCATGTCACATGGCACCCTGACCATGTATATAGGGGAGGGACAGTGTTTGGCATGTTCTGCAGTTTCTTTGTCTATTTTGGACACCAAGCTGTGGAGGCCCTGAGAGCAGGGACTACATACTTATCATTTTTATTTTCCCAGAACCCATGTCTAACCAACTTTAAAAGATGTTATTAGTGTTCACAACAAAGCAGTGACTTTAGAAAAATGATATTTGTTTAATAAGCTTATCTTAATCCTGCTGTGATATCTGAACACTTTCTTCCTTCTGATAATGCATATCTCATCCCGCCCCACTCAAAGCCCCCAGGGTCAGAACATCTACTGGAGGAACTTGGGAATGAATGCTACTACACACAAAGAAATCACAAATCTTCGCCTATCCAATGATTTTGCAAATGCCATTTATATGTGGATTACATTGTTTTGGGTGCCAAAGATTACTCCATGCCCCTCACTTATGAAAGAACAAAAATGAAGCCTTTTTCTCCTTACAATTGGTGTTAAAATGTGTATGTGGGGGAAAGGGGGTTGTGGGCATTATTAGCTCTCAAATGATACAAAACTAAAAAATTCTGTTTTATTCTAAAATATACCTTACTTCACTTTTTTCCTCCAGGCAACAAATTTTATTAAGCCCTGAGAACACCATAAGGAAAATAAAATTTCCCTCTATCCAGGAATCATAAAAACTAAGAAGAAAGGGAAACACAGGAGGAAATTATGTTGCAAAGATATAAAGAGAATTAGGAAGAGGGTTGCACAACTGAGGATGGAACTCTTTGTACAATAAATTGTCATATACCAGGAAGATATCTTTGTTGTGTTCCTGTTTGGTAAGGTTAGTAGTAAGGTAGTGTCATCCCCTCCTCCATGAAAAATCTTAACTAAGCTTCTCCAGAAATCTTCACCATAATTTATTTTAAGACTATAAGCAAAAGAGTTTCTACCAAAAAAAAAAAGTTTTCTATTTTCCTGTTGCTTTATTTTACTTGGCCACTGGCCAGAAAAAAATCAGCACTCTAGGTGCTGAACATCCCTTTACTTGTTTTCCACAAACATGTATCCAGTATAGTAGTTTATAGAAGTGTGTTTGCAAATGCAAAATGTGACAAAAAAGACAAATCCTGTAACAAGGCCTCTGGCCTTGAGCTGGGCTTCACAGAGACGTCTACATTTCTAAGATAAGATAGAAGTTACCAGTTGGGCTCCATGGTAACAGCTGGCAGGAGGAGGAAAGAAAGGGGAGAAGAAGCTCTCCCCTTCTCAGGTGTTGTCCTTGAAGGGTTAACTTGCTCAAAACAGTGAAAGAAAAAAAGCTGCTTTATGTGAACTTCTGCAGACTGTGAACTTCTGAGCCCCTCCCCTTATATGCTGGGTATAAAGTTCTAAAACTCAGTCAGGGTCAGGGGATTAATTGATTACAGCAAAAGTTGTGCCCTTTGAACCTGGCTGCAGTCAAATTAAACTGTTTCCTGCTATCATCAGTGCCTTACCTGTCTGTCCCTACAACAGTAGAAAGAGAACACAGTGGGGACACATTTGGATTATTTATGCATCTCAAAGGCAATAGCAGTCCTTGGATGTTTGTTTATCACAGCCAGGGAATGCCATTTCTCCTCACCCTTCTTACACTGTACAAACAGGACTTTTTTTCTGTAGCTCTCTGCTGGGAATATTTCATGTTTTAAATCCATTCTGCCCCACTGGGCTAATATTTGAGTTCATTTTTAGTGACATCTGATACATAATAAACCAGATGATTATAAAGTGACATCTTGTTATTTCCAAGTTCAGAACATTAGCTCCTTTGAAATTCCACTGTGCAACAACAGACACTTTGGGAAACTGGGGATGCCCTGGGAAGATGGGTAGGGGGCCACACTCTACTGTGATCATTGTTCTGCATACCACTGGGCATAATTAGAAAAATGCTATTTTTTGTAATTGACATTTTTAGTGCTGAGTGATAACTGAAAATAATGAGGAGCTATTTTCACTTTTATGATGACTATTGCATTGGACAGGATTGAGTTCTTGGAAGTACACAGCTGAGTGATGACACGTTGTTTTTTCCCCTGGGATCACAACTAAAGTTAAATTCTGAACACAGAAAGGGAACTGGGACTGTTCATTTAAACCTTTTGAAATCATCCCCAACACACATGCAGCAAACCCTCCTCATCAATGCAGACTGATTAGATCAAGTCTTTTTATCATCTAACCCACCCCCACCCCATCCTATATCCTTCTTCTAATCACTGTACCATACAGAATTAAAACTTCAGTCTCCTCCAGAGTGGCCACTAACTTTCTCAATTACTCCTGCAATATACTGTGGTAAAGGGAAATATTCTCACCTAAAATTGCAGTTGGCACAAATGGGTCTGTCATACATCGTAAGCAGGTCAATGCAGAGAAAATAAAAAGAAAAAGAACAGTATATGATTGATGAAAAGTCCCCCATCTTCCCCCATGAAAGCCACAGAAAGCCTTGGGTACAGCACATCCAACAGAATGAGCTCCTACAGCACCGCATGGCCCATGGCACTGTGGGAGGCTGATGGGTTCTGGCTGCCAAGGGGCCATGAAGAGATGAGAGGATGGAAGGATCTGTTACCTGGGTAATAGGAAGTAGGCACCGATGTGCTCAGTGTGTTTGTTTTCATTGTAAAGGATGATGGTGATGACACAGCTGTTGATAAAGGAAAAACCAAAAAGCAAACAAAAAAAGGCTGGTCAAAAGCTGTAGAGTCCTGAGACTTCAAGCACCATGCTCTGAAATCACCTTGATTACTCCAAGCAGATGACAGAAAGAAACCTCCCAAATTCACTCAGGGACACATGGCAAATGGCATCATCCCCAGGTGTCTCTGGGTTGTTACTTGTCCTCTAAGAGAACAAACTTAAAGACTTTTCTTCCCTTCAGTGGATAAATGGATAAAGAAAATGTGGTATATATACACAATGGAATATTACTTAGCATTAAAAGAGAATAAAATTATAGCATTTGCAGGTAAAGGGATGGAGCTGGCAAATATAATGCTAAGTGAAATTAGGCAATCCCCAAAACTCAAATGCCGAATGACTTCTCCGATTTAAGGATGCTGATCCATAATATGCTGCTGGTGGTGGGGGGGATTAAATGAACTCTAGATAGGGCAAAGGGAAAAGGGGAGGGACAGAAAGAGAGGGGGCATAGGGGTAGGAAAGATGGTGGAATGCGATGGTCATCATTACCCTAAGTACACATATGAAGACACGAAGTATGTGACTCTACTTGTGCACAACCAGAGATATGAAAAATTGTGCTCTATAATGTGTATTATGGATTGTAATGCATTCTGTTCTCATATATAACATATCAAAATTTAAAGACAAAAAAAGGAAAAAGAAAGTTCAAAGCCAGGTTCAGCAAATCAGCAAGGCACTAAGCAACTCAGTGAGACCCTATCTCTAAATAAAATATTTAAAAAGCGCTGGAGAAGTGGCTCAGGGGTTAAGTGTATTGGGTTCAATCTTTGGTACAAAAAATAAAATAAAATAAAAAAATGAAAAAAAAGACTTACCCACAGCCCAGTAGATAAATGCAACATACTTCTAACTTTTAGCTTTTCTTGTAGTAAGTCTGCCATTGTATCATGCTGACATTCAAGGCTTCTGAAGAATACTGGGGATGCCAGTGTTTTGCAGATTACTAATTCCTGTCTTTCCTCACATTTTGGAAATGAGAGAACTTTCCATAATGACTTTATTGGATTTATAAAAACTAATAGCTGATATTTAAGGTGAAAGCTGCATGTCCCCACATTGTCTTATTAAATCCTTATAAAAATGCTTGCATCCCTTCAAAATATTACTCTAAAACATTCAATGCTATCACACCTCCTCCTTCTGTTTTTAAAAAGAAAGTCAATTCAATCCAATCTATCCAATTCCAGTAAAAATGGCCAGCTCCTAATTTTAAGGTAGTATGTCAACCGTCTTCAATATCTTCACTGATTTATAACAGCACATAAATTTCATAAACATATAACAACTTAAAAATGAGTAAGGTGGTTAAACATAACTAATATATATATATATATATATATGTATATATATGTATATATTCCTCTGACATACTTACATGATTTATTTGATGCCAAGTGCTGGACCAGGACACTAATACCCAATTACACCATTATATTTGTGGGAAGTATACCTGTGAACATTGTATGTTATAATTATTCTGATGACATGTTAACATATTTCAGCTCTCAGGGGCAGTTCCAGTATGACAGTGCCTTTACCTGTGTTTGTATTTTTAAGGGGATGAATGAGTAAGTGATGGGACAAAAACCAGAACCCAGGCTGTCTAAAGTACAGAAGAATAACATATATAAAGTATATTTCACCCAGAAAAAATAACTGATGAAAACAACAAAAATAACTAAGTACTTGTAAACTATATCAGAGTTAGTGAGAGTAATGCCTCTTTAATATCAGCAGACAACTTTACATGGTTGGCAAAAATGGACAAAACAGATATGAAATAACTGTTTATTTTTGCCTCATAATTGTTTATTTTTGCCTTTTAGTTAAAACAAGAGAACACAAATACATTTGTCTTTTGTTACACAAGTTAAACCTGTTCCCAAATATGTTCTCCTTTTGTAGTATATATTATGCTGTATTATATAAGCACACCTCAGACTTGCTTTGGGGGACAGATTATTCCATACTTTTTGTAAATGTGTTCATGCTTACTTTGAAATTTTCCAGTCACATTTTTCTCACTGATTCATTTCTAAAAGCAACTCAACTTAGCTTCTAGACTTTTTCCCAGCCTTAAAAGATATTGCACTTTGCAGATTTGTAATAGGGATAAGGTTGGCAGACAATGGTCTAATGAATGCCCTTCCTGAAAGTTCTTGCTCTGGTACTTTAGATCTAATTTTAAGGATGTTAATAGAATATGATGAAAAAGTTTACCATCAGGGACGAGACCCACTGACTGCTAAGAGTGAGAAACAAACAGGAAGACTCCTGTGGCATTTCTTGGCTGGCTTTGAGGCATCAAACAATGCCAAATGGATCACCAGAGGCAGAGGGATGCCAGCTTCTGGCTGCCTTCTTTCCCTGATTTTTGGATTTCCACAGATCCACTGCCTTCTTAAAAAGAAACTTCCAGATTACACTGCCTGTCCAGAGGCAAATCTCTCTGTGGTTCCAACCTCAAATAAAGGCCTTGAAGCTACTAATGTAGGTTCCTACTCTTGGGGCAGGTCATTTTTTTCTTTAAAGAGAGAGGGAGAGAGGGAGAGAGAGAAAGAGAGAATTTTTTAATATTTATTTTTTTTTAGTTATTGGTGGACACAACATCTTTGTTTGTATGTGGTGCTGAGAATCGAACTCGGGCCGCATGCCGCTGGAGCCACATCCCCAGCCCCAAGGGCAGGTCATTTTAAGCAAATGTATTCATGAGGAATTTTACTATGAAATAAAAACTTTGGAACTTTAATGGGTTGAAAGTGAAACCGTATATTACATCCACACAGTCCTTTTCTTCTCTCTCACTCTTTCTCTTTTGCGTGTGTGGTGCTAAGGATGGAACCAGGGCCTCACATATGTTAGGCAAATGTTCTACCACTGAGCAACACTCCTAGCTCCTGTGTTCCTTACCTTCTGATGCTCAAGAAATAACTGCTGCTACAAAAATACCAACCTTGTATGTAGCTCAAAGATCTTCTTCACCCCCAGCCCCCAACAAATACAACATAGGCCATATATGTTATAGCCATTAAATATATTACATATGTGCTTTTGAAAGAAAAATGTAACATCTGCTACAAGAAGCAGAGAGAATCCAATGACAAAATGGGATGCACTTTATGGTATAGTGAGAAACTACAGCTTCTATATCTATCAGTAAAATGACACTGAGGGTAAAGAAAGGCCACCAAAAATGAAAACCAAGCAGCACCTGCTCGATGTAAGGCCAGGTGCATGTGTAGAGCACATAAATGTAGCAGGAAAATGTGGGATGACTACAGTCACTATGTACAGAAAAAGTAAGAGACTAAATTCTATGAAGTCTCAAGGAGCAATGTGATGCTGGGAGCAGGCACAGGCATTGACCATGCTATGACCTGAGAGAGGAGTGGATGGAAAGCCACAGAACCTGAACAGGCTGCCCAGTGTGCACTCAGGACACCAGGACACCAGCTCGCACTGTCCATACTCTCCCAGACACTCTCTCTGCTCCTCTGCTCCACCAGCCTTTATGTGCATTACTTAGGCAACAGCAATGCTGCACTCTCCATCTCCATGCTCATCAATGACCTGATTATGCAGCCGGGGTCAGTAGCAGTCTGCAGGGATGGATTTCACACAAAAGGATAAAGAAACCTCTGACCTTGAACTTGATGAACTTGTGCTGTGGCCTACAATCCATGGCCATGTGATTTACCTCTGTTATCTGAGATCACAAGAGACAAAACAACTGTTCCTTTTTTATATCATATAATCAATCTAATTGTTAGTTTCCTGAAATAATGCCGTGTACCTGGATCACAGGTGGAAGCAAGGGAAGGTATTAGCCTAGCTCAGTTTACCCACCTGGTGTGAGGTTTAAGACTTGTGCAGTTGAAATGCGGTTTAATTTATTAATTACCACTCATAGCCCTATAATGAAGGCAGAACCTGTCAGCTAAACAAATAAACAATTAACTTGTTACTGCCATTTAGCAAACTGTTTTACAACAGGCTTCCCTTGTGCAGTTCCACACCTGGCTTGCTTACAAATGGGACCTAAACAAAGAAAAGCATGATGAGAAACAGGTGCCTCCTCCTCAACTGGAAGAAGCCTTCCTGTCACTGCTCTGGAACAATTTACAGACTGTGGTTTCCTATGGTCTCTGACCTGGTCCTATCACCTTTGGAACATCTTTGCTAAGCAAACCATGAGATATAGTATTTCCAGACCAGGTAAAGTGAGTGGAGAGAGCAATATGGCATAACAATTCTTAGAGGAAAAATAAAGTCTTGTTTCGGTTTGTTTTTTAATCCCTCAATGCTACCTGGAATCCCAGAAAGCCATCGGGTGCACTTACATCTCCTGTTTAGATTGTGTGTGTCCATGAAGAAGAAGACTTCATCGCAGCTTGTGCCTTGCTCTATGTAACTCTTGTCCATCGAGTTCACCATCACAGTCATCTCCTGCCGGGTGCTGCTCATAGGCTCCTTTCATTTCTTGGCTAGTTTCCTTAAGGACAAAGAATTGAATTATGTAGACATGCATGTGAATGGAAACTGGAGATCTGGAATAACCTCTACTGAAACAATTTTACACATTCATGATTCATTGACTTATGTGCCTTTAGTGAGTGTCACGCTGCACACATAGATATGAAAAATATCCACTGCCTGTCCAAAAAAAAAAAAAAACCCAGCCTAAAACAAAATGACCAATGATACTTGTGCAATGCAATCATCATCTGCTTACTGACATTCACTCAAAGACATTGACTTATTGCTGAATTATTATCTATACTGCCATATACAGTTTTGAAGAGAAGATTCTAATAAATATTTGACAGACAAAGTTGAAATACAGGTATTTCTTGTCTTATGATGGGGTCACAACCCAGTAAATTAAAAAGGCTGTATGTTGAAAATGCACTGAATACACTCAACTAATGAACATCACAGCAGGAACATTTAGCATGGTAAGTCCTATTTCTCCCTCTGTCAGTGGAAGATCATGCAAAAAGGCCCAGGACAGTATTCCTTGCATCCTGCTCACTGACCACCTGAATCTCATAATCTAAAATTACAGCTACCTATACAAAAGCCACAAAAAACTAAGGGAAACTAACATAAATAAACAGATAAAGCCATTTTTTACAGGCCTTACCACCAGAGGTTGTTTTATGTTCCTAAGTCAGACAAGAATAGAATTTGAGATTGCTTAAGAAGGAGGGATTAACTGAGAAGGTTTTTTTTTTTTCTTTTCCTGATACCAGGGATTGAACTCAGGGGTACACGACATCTGAGCCACATGCCCAGCCCTATTTTGTATTTTATTTAGAGAAAGAGTCAAACTGAATTGCTTAGTGCCTCGCTTTTTGCTGAGGCTGGCTTTGAACTTGTGATTCTCCAGCCTCAGCCTCCCACGCAGCTGGGATACAGGCAAACCTCACCACACCTGGCAAGTGAGAAGGTTTATAGAAACACCATACCAAAACCCCTGGGAAAAATATATAAATTCTGCCCAAGCACCTAGCAGCATTTACAAAGAAAAAATGGAAGCTATTTCTTATTAGAAATAGTGTGATATCACTGGAATTAGTTCACACACATGCAAGACTAGAAAGGAGGAAAGAAACATCTTGACACTGGTTGGACCAGAACATAGCAGAATTTAAAATGGGCCATGTAATCAAAATTGTACTCACATTAGCTGATTGTGAATGGATTGGAAGAAGTCACAACATTAGACAATATAGATAACTTTATTATATTGACAAATGATACACAATCCAAATGCTTCCTTTCCTGTAGTTATAATCATCTTTTAATTTCATAATTTGAAGTCAAAGTGTTTTTTAAAATTTTATTTATTTATTATTTTAAGTTATAGATGGACACAGTACCTTTATTCATTTTTATGTGGTGCTGAGGATCAAACCCAGTGCCTCACACATGGTAAGCAAGTGCTCTACCACTAAGCCACAACCCCAGCCCCAAGGCAAAAGTTTTTGATTAATAACTTGCCCTTTTAATTGCAAAGAGGTGATGGGAAAAGAGATACATTTTTAAGCACATAAAGGGAAATCACCTATAATGTCTCTGACAGTAAATTGAAACATCATATGTTCAAGGGTGAAGTTATAAAGATTTTGAAAGGTCAGATAGAACGACCCTCTAGGCACTGGTACACTTCTCTTGACACTGCAGATCACCTTCCCCATCGAAGATCATCTTCTCTTCCAGCCATGCTGGTGTGGAGCCAGAGTCTGCACCTGCTATTCTCATCAGGTGTTCTGGGCAGCACACTCCATCTCCACAGCTCTGCTCACAATACATTTTCTCTCCACTTCTGCATCTGCTAGCTTTTGGAAAAACATTCTTAGACCAGGTCTCCCAGGAATGCTGCAGTGAAGGACTGAAATAATAAACTCTATGATTCAGGCAAAAGGCTCACTTTTTGCTTGAACTTTTTTGATTTGCTTTGGACTGATTTACGTGGATAATTGCTTCAATTTTTTTGTTGTTGTTGCTGTTGTTATTCTGCCTGGAAAAAGCAGCACAGTCAACCAGACTCTACCGGCCTTGTCTTGCTTGAATTTGTCTAATTCTAAAGGTGAAAAAATGACAACAAATGTGCTTCTTGTATTGTTGGGGGGGGAGTTGGTAGACGGGGGTGGCATCATAAAAGGCCCTCATAAAAGCTAAGCTTGTAATGGAAAAGTTCTTTCTCCTTTCTAGTCTTGCATGTGTGTGAACTAATTTCAGTGATATCACACTAAACACTTCTTACTGATTTTTCTGTGAGTGCATAAGAATCCCATTAAGGACTCATGGGTTCATGTTCAAATCAGAGGTCAAGTCAGAGACCTGGACCTTTAAGTTAATATCCATTGAACACATACTTTCTGTCTGTAAACCTTCAGTTTCCAACTCAATGTTCTCAGCAGTCTTCTTGCATTCACTCTGTCCTTCAAACACAGTTTTGTTCCCCTCAGACGTCCCAAATACAAATGATGCACAAGGCAATAAGGAGTGGTGGAGAGGGGCTGGGGTTGCGGCTCAGTGGCAGAATGCTTGCCTTGCATGTGTGAGGCACTGGGTTAGAGCCTCAGCACCACATAAAAAAAGAAATAAATAAAATAAAGCTAATATGTTCATCTACAACAAAAAATAAAAAAAGAAATGGTGGAGACTGGAGAAATGGAGGGGAAACAGTGTCTCAACTCCTCTGGGAGGATGCTCTGTGGAAATCCTAGTCATTGAAAGTTTCTGGAGAAACCAGAAATCCAGATCTTATGTCAACTCAATTTTTAATTGTTGTTAAATAAATCAAATTTAAAAATAAAACATACTGGCTGGCCCTTCTGCATTCCACAAATAATAGCACTAAGCAGCTGAATACTTTTGAAATGGAAAGGAGTAGAAAGTAACATAGAACACACAACTACCATATGTCAATACTCTGCTTGCAACATCTTGTTAATTCCTCATGCACATGCACAAATTATTACTCCCTATTTTACCTTCTTATTCCCTATTTTACTTTCTTATTCCCTATTTTATAGATGAGGCAATTGAGTTTCAAGGACATTAAGCAACTTTCCTTAATGGAGCTGATATTGGAACCATGAACTCTGATCCCAAAATCTCTAATTTAGAAACAATATGATTTATCATGTAAAGTATTTCATCAATTTACATTTCCTTATAAGCAATACTGTAACTAAGTTAATTTTAAGTGTGGACACTCCATCATCCCAAACTATAATGCTTTGAAAAAGTTGGGTTATTAGCACCTAGCCAATGCTTTACATTCACAAGCTGGTGGCATCCAAAATGCTTGTGAACTGAATTAGTTATCATCACACCAAAGCATAAGTGAAGTGAGTTCACTAATAACGCATCTGTTAAAAGTAGCTTGCTTAGTCATGGAAGTCTTAAGTCATTGTTTGGGAATTTTATATGATCTTATCTGCAGTTCAAAGTTTTCATTCATAATTATAGATAGTTAAGGAAGTTAGATTTAGAACTGAGGCTCTGTTATAACTATGGATAAACTGGTGGTCCCCAACCCTCACTCCCAGCTTCTCGTTGAACCTTGTATTATTCTTTTAAGTTGAAAACCCTAAAACCTACTAGAAAAACTTTGAGAACTTAATGAAATATCTTATGGATGGAAATTCCTAAAGTTGAAGTTATTTTCTTTGTAATCATATCTAAACACTCAGTAAATTTATTTGTTTATATTTTTCAAAACATGGTTTATCTGAAATATTTTAATCTGCAATCTCCAAACTTGAACTCCATGAATCAGAAAGGGTATTAGTAATTAAAAAGAGAAGACGAAAACAAAAGAAAAAGAAAAGGTTCATATCAACATCTATAAATAGATCATAAAACCTCTTGAGAAAGGACTTGCAGCTTCCAGTCTGGCACAAAGAGAGCTAGAAGTCATCACCCCATTCTAACAAGTAAAAGCTGGATAAATTGAAAATCAGCAACTCTTCTTACATCTGTCAGAGACTTGAGGTCACAGAGCAAACAACTGCCTCCCAAATTGGAAAGATCCAAAGTAAATCCGATGACAACTGATGGGAGTCGAAGTCCATGAAGAAAAGCAAGAACCACTACAGGGTCATAACGTAAACCATCATCAACCAAGTGCTGGAGGTGCTCTGTGGCCCTGGCTTAGAGTGAGAAACGCCAGGGACTGGAGGGGAGGGTGGGGGGAGGGTGACTAAACTTAAGGGGTCTCCACACTTTTGAGAGTTAAACCTCCATGATCTTTTACCACGTACTCACAGTGATGATCAGAGGCAAATCCCCTCATGCTATCAGCAGGATGAAGTGAAAAGTGGCCATTTTGAAATATGCCAGAAAGTTCTGTTCTTTTATATATATAGTTGTAGATGGACACAATATCTTTATTTTTATGTATTTATGTTTATGTGGTGCTGAGGATCAAACCCAGTGCCTCACATGTGCCAGGCAAGTGCTCTACCACTGAGCTCCAACCCCAGCCCAGAACATTCCGGTCTTAACAAGATGCTATATGGTTTGGATCTGAGCTGTCCTCCCAAAGATCCTGTTAATTCAAGAGGTAAAAATGATTCAGATTATGAGACCTGTAACCTAATCAGCCAATCCTAATTTGAATGGACTAACTGGGTGGTAACTATAGGTAGGTGGGGCAAGTGGGGCAGGTGGGAGGAGATAAGTCATTGGATGTGCTCTGGAAGGGCTCACCTTTCCTGTGGCACCTGACTTCCCTATTTTGCTTCCAGGTTACCAAGAGGTAAGCAGTGCTTCTCCACCACACCCTTCCACCATGATGTTCTGCCTCACCTTGAGCCCAAAGCAATGGAGTCAGCTGATCATTAACTAAATCTCTGAAACCATGAGCCGAAAATAAATTTTTGCTCTCATAAGTTGTTCTTGTCAGGTATTTTGGTCATGAAGACAAAAAGTTGACTAACACATAAGACTTTCCCTCAAGAAACACTATTTTACTAG